AACGCAGAAGCAAAGCTCCTACTTCACGCCGGTATTCTGTGAGGTCGTGGTACCAACCCGGCTCGAGCCGGCCCATACATGCAACAGCAAAAACTTCTGCGTGGCTCTACCACCAAATTGAATATTTTATTATATTATATTGCTTAGATAGTACGAAATGTACTTAAACTTTTTTTGTTTCTCAAACAGAACAGCCCTAATTTGATTAATGTGGTTAATTATGAAGAGCAAAAATTCCTTGTCAACTTTATTTAAGTTGAGCCTCACTAAGTTTACTCAAAGAGGTTCATTAATTAGTTTTATAAAGACAAGGCGTACGTGGGCGCGTTGACACTTAGGATTGAGCAAAAACAGATGCAACAAACCTAAATATCGTTAACAGATTTTATAATCTAACCTACACCTTCATAAGTGACGCTCATGGAAGTAGGAGGTGGCTGGATCACTGTTTAGTATCCAAATCAGCCTGGAATGCAATTAAGAGTGTAGGTGTCTCCGAAGATGTTTACATTTCTGATCACTTTCCAATATATTTAGAATGTAACTTAGAGGTGGTCAGGCCTAAACGGACACTTAGAGGTCATGATAAAAACCTGGTCTTATGGGGTGAAAGAACAAATGTAGAGACGCAATGTTACCAAAACCTTTGTATTAGCAAATTGCGGGACATTGACTTTCCTCATGAGTTTATAAACTGTGCGAATGGCTTCTGTGGCTTGGCCGAACATAGGGTTGCATTAGATAATTTGTATGAACAGATTGCTTGTATATTATCTGAGGCGGCTAAGGAATCCAGAGTGACTTATAAGGGGGGACCAAGGCGGGGTAAGCGAGTATGTGGTTGGAACAGCTATGTAAAAGACGCTCACTATGAGGCCAGATGTAGTTTTAAGACCTGGGTACTCAGTGGTCGTCCCTTATCTGGTCCTATTTATGATGAAATGAGTGAAAATCGAAAAATTTTTAAGACTAAACTCAAATTTTGTCAGAAAAATGCTGAGCAAATCAAAATGGATAGATTAGCTCAAAAAAGAGCAAATAGGGACTTTAAAAATTTCTGGAAGTCGACCAATAAGTTGGACTAGTCTTGCCACGAGCGTGGAAGGAATTAGTGAACCCAGTGACATCGCTAATATGTTCATGGAACATTTTAAAATACAATCTCCACTTGGGCCCTCAACACAGGTGGGTAGTGCTGGGACCGTTTGTGGGGGAGAGGAACCTCTTGTGCATATTTCTGCTAAACAGATACGCAGTATCATAATAGGTATGAGCCGAGGTAAATCTCCAGGACATGACGGGCTCAGCATTGAGCACCTGAAGCACGCTGGATTTCACCTGCCACGAGTCCTGTCCATGTTCTACACAATGTGTATTAGTCACTCTTACTTACCTACAAATCTGATGAAGACAATAGTAGTTCCCATTGTGAAGAACAAGACGGGAGACATCTCTGACAAGGGTAACTATCGCCCTATTTCCTTAGCGACTATCATAGCAAAGGTGTTGGACGGTGTGCTTGATACCATCTTAAGTGACCACATTCAATTGCATGACACACAGTTCGGGTTTAGACCAGGACTATCAACCGAAAGTGCTATTTTAAGTCTAAAGCACACCGTTCGATATTACGTAGATCGGGGTACCCCGGTATATGCCAGTTTCCTTGATCTTTCCAGGGCATTTGATCTCGTCTCATATGATGTGCTCTGGAGGAAGGTGGAGGACAGGGGTGTACCGTCAGAGATATGTGGTCTGCTCGAATATTGGTACAGTAAACAAATAAATCATGTGAAATGGGACGATACTCTTAGTGAACCGTACAGGTTGGAATGCGGGGTAAGGCAGGGGGGTCTAACGTCTCCCAGATTATTTAACCTATATATAGATGCTCTCATAGGCGAGCTCAGTAGCAAGCGTGTCGGATGCAGTGTTGGTGGGGTTAGTATTAACAACATCAGCTATGCAGATGACATGGTGCTGATGGGACCGTCGGTGAGGGCAGTAAGAGAGTTACTGAAGGTGTGTGTAGCCTATGCTGAGTCTCATGGGTTGGCATATAATGTCAAAAAATGTGAATACATTGTCTTTGGCGTCAGGGGCAAGCCTAGGACTGATGAACCTGACCAATTCTTGAATGGGTCAAAACTTAAAAAAGTGACGTCCTTTAAATATCTTGGTCATTTTCTTGCAGATGACCTGAAAGATAATGTAGACATTGAGAGGGAACGCAGGGCTCTAGCGGTCAGGAGTAACATGCTGGCCCGTAGATTTGCTCGATGTACGGACTTAGTAAAAATTACCCTATTTAAGGCATACTGCCAGAGTCTGTATACGAGCAGTCTATGGATCAATTACACTAAAAGGTCGCTGGATGCCCTGCGTGTTTAATATAATAATGCTTTCAGAATGTTGTTGGGACTGCCTCGATACTGTAGTGCATCGGAGATGTTTGCGCAAGCTCGCACGGACGGTTTTCATGCGATAATACGTAAGAAAACAGCTTCGCTGCTTAGAAGGGTGAGAGATAGTCACAACAGCATTTTGAAAACAGTAGCGGAGAACTATAATTCTCCGATTTTGAAAAAGTTTGTCCACACATTAATGTTTACTAACACTAGTTTATAAGTCAATTGTTACTAACACTACTATGGATTAATTTTGGTCCGAAATAAAGATTATTATTATTATTATTATTATTAACAGGTATTACAAGATTACTGTTTTAAAGAACAGTGTAATTTGATATTTATAGATATTTTCACATGCTCAACGGAAGGGTTTCGTGGTTTTTTATACAAGACACTTTTTAAATAATAATTTGTCACCTCAGTCACATTATAATATCATTGCTGACCATACTTTGACACTTATATAATACGTTCTGTACAGCTGCAGGTCTCCTAGCATCTTAATCATCTATCTCAAGAGGTAATCTGTGAACAGCACTGTGGGCTGCATTATTGCGTATATTAATGTTACTGTACTATCTGTATGTAATATATATAATGTAGCTGTTAGCTGTTCCACTTTGAATAAATAAATAAATAAATAAATTTGAGTTTTATTACTAATTTTACATGGTAGAGCCATGCTGAAGCTATACTTATATAGTTATAGCACGAATAGGTCGATCCGACCGGGGAACGACCACCCTTGCACAGAATAGCAGCATAAAATAACAGCTAAATGCTGCTGTGTTTCGTATTGTTAGTGTAAAGGACCGCAGACCTTTTTTACTGGAAAGGAGGCATTCCATCTTAGTCCTCAGGGGTCACAACCTGCATTTTGCTTCTTAATCAAGGATAGATATAGATGTCTATGGACCACAGCATCTACTTACTATGAGGCGGTAAGTGTACACGTTTGTCGCCATTATTACATTAAACGGCAAAGCATCTGCAAACCCGCTGGTGTTGCGATTGTTCAACGGCGACGGTCGTCACTTACCATCAGGTGAGTTGCATACTTGTTTTCCCCCTCTCATATTATTAAAAAAATTAATGATGTTGTTATTTTAAGAATTTATTATTTTGTATATTAAAAATATTGTCGTTTAACGTTTAAATGTTTCTTATTTGTTTTGCCGCTATCGTGTTGACTTTGACCTGTAAATACAGATGTCTCAAGTAACAAATAAATAAAAAGATGTATAAAACCCAGACTGGCGGCGAACAGCAACGTCAAATATGCGAGACGTCATGTATGTTTTATACGTGGTAGAGCCATGCTGCAGCTATATTAGTAGTATAGTTGTAGCACGATTGGGTCAGCTCGACCGGGGAAGGACCACGCTCTCACAGATTACCAGCGTCAAATAGCAGCTTATGATGATAAGCGGATTTTTTTTTGTATAATAAGTTTTAACAAAGAGATTGCCTATCTCCTGTTCCATTTTCTTCTGTTACTCTTACGACACCCACGGGAGATTTAACGTAGTTGACCAATGCTGCATCTATATTATGATTGCAATACGCATGATTTGGATCGATCCGCGTCACGCCCTCACAAAACGCCAAATTTTTTAAAATTTACCTTGGTTATTCAGGAGGGATTTTGAATTTACCCGCGCCTTAAAGTTATTCTTCTGCCTAATTTTCGGGGATAATTTGAAAGTGCTGCTTCCCAACGTGCGTACTACTCGTAGTCCTCTTAAACTCGTTACATAGATTTATGCTAATATTTAATTAACCTTAAACATTCTTATAAAGTAACTTAGTCTTATTTTTAATGTTATCGGGACTGAAATACGTCTATATTCATTATATTTAGCAGCGTTTGGCTCAAAGCCAAGTACCCTTCGAAATATATCGGCGCCAATAAAACTTGCCATCTAATCCACACTCATAGCATACATTCTATCAAGTCATGTAACAGTTACGTCCATTATGCTATGATTTATTTAGAAATTGGTCATATATGTACATATATTACATATGTAGCAAAACTATTGTAATAAGATTAGAACTTATGTTGACGAAACAATGTCTAAACTATTTGAAAAAAAAAACAAAATAAAAAATAAAAAGAAAAATAAGGAACGTTTTCCCCCCAAAGGGAAGAAAACGATATATTTCATGTCTTGCCTAGGCTTGACCATAATGAGATAACACTTACTGTATCTATCCATATAATACCCATACATTCAAATAAATGCTTGCGTTCGTCTAGGTAGCGCTGTCGTGGGCGCTTCTCCCTCCGCGGGAGGCGGGGCGGTGAAGCGACGGCGCCCGCGTTCTCAGTACCTCTCACTAGTCGTCAAGAGCTTATCCTGGTCAAGCCTAGGCAAGACATGAAATATATCGTTTTCTTCCCTTTGGGGGGAAAACGTTCCTTATTTCATGGTCTGTGCCGTCGGCTTGACCATAATGAGAGGTTTTTAGTTTCTGACGACGCAGGATTAGCGTACTGTGAATAATATATAGTTTTAAAATAAAATAAACGTGTATGCAAATCAACTGCCTTTTTATTATTAAAAAAAATGTAGACATTAAAACAATCTAGATAGCCTTAAAATTAGAACAAACTAAGTCATTAACTGGATGAGCACCAGATGTCTTTTTAATTATCTCTTTAAAGTAGAACTTAAATATATTTTTATTAGATTTCCAATTTCCATTTTTAATGATTATATCTAAAGGAACATTGTTCTCCTGCCTTGAGGAGGCTACGGCAGATCTTATACTTCCAGGCGAAAAATCAATACCAAGATGCTTTAAAGCAGATTTTACCCATCCTGCAATTGTGGCTCTAGTTGCAGACTTTACAATTCCGCGTGTAGATACAAACAAAGATGTCAATTTGTTTCTTGCCTGTCTTCTAGAGGCTGACAAATCAATCAGTCTTTTCGTCCAATATATGGGATCTAGAGACTTAATTGAACCTTTAGATAAATGCCAACCTGATTGTTGATGATTAATCTTATCTGTTTTTGAACCATATACAGGCCAAAAGGTAACGGAATCCTCACTCAACTTTAGGTGATCATCATCAATCCTTAGAAGAGTAAGATCGTGTATTCTTCTACCCGACGCCAGCAAAAGATGCAGTGCCACATGGCGGGATACTTCAAATAGACTATCTTCATTAATAACTGAGGTTTTCATCCAAGCAATCAGCTGTTCGACATCCCAGATACATTTCTTCGACGATGAAGGATGAGAATTCTCTATTACTCGAATAATATGTTTCACCAAAGGGTGACTGGAAATTTCTTCCCTTCTTAAGGGATCACCCATAGTAGCTATAACAGACTTGTGTAATTTTATTGTTCTAGGTGCGAAGTGTTTTACTCTATGTAAAAAACTAAGATATTGGGCTACATCAGCTGGATCAGGTTTCTCCGGATCCAGGTTCATTTTATTACATCTCGTTACCCAAGCTTTCCATGATGCGGCGTACGTTTTTAAAGAAGACTTTCTCCAAGATCCTTTGAGTAATTCAACGTCTTCTTGGGCCCATGAAGATGTGATTTCTGACCACCCCGTATCAACCAGGCCTCCAAGCGTAGATTTCGCGCGTCCGGGAGAGGTACGTTCTGTGTCGCGTCCGATAGATGATGCTGTAAATTTCGAATGCAAATCGGACGGTCCAGTGCTCTTCGTCTCAGATCCGCCCTCCAAAAAACTCGTTCCCATCTTGGCGCAACTAGGATGTAAGTACCCCTTGCTTTGTTCAAGTGTGCCAGCACACGAGGCATCAGTCCTGGTGGTGGGAAAATCCAAGCTAGATCGAAGTCCCAGATTCTGCTGAAAGCATCTATAAAAAGAGCACATTTGTCTGTTGTGTCTCGAGATACATAAATCGGTACAACTTTCGAGAAGGCAGTGGCAAAGAGGTCAACCTGAGGAGTTCCCCATTTCTTGAATAGTAGGTCCGTCACTTTGTTCGAGAGATGCCAATCCGCCAGGTGCTTCTGACGAGAAAGGCTGTCTGCCATCTCGTTGAAGACTTCCGGTATGTAGTAAGCAAAAATTTCGATTTTGTTCTCGTAGGCGAGTTCCAGAATCTTTGACACTAGTTCTGTCAGTAGAACGGATTTGGTTCCACCTTGATTCCGTATGTAGGAAACCGCTGTTTTGTTGTCCGATTGAATTACTACGCGTTTCCCCCTTAATTGAGTTAGCGTCAAAAGTACTGTTTGATAAATTGCGTATAGCTCCTTGCGATTTATATGCCACAGAGTTTGATTGGTCTTCCAAAGTCCGCTGAGGAGTCTTTTGTTGACCTGGGCACCCCAACCCGTGTCTGAAGCATCTGTTGTCACAAATATCGTTTCGACGCTGGCAAAGATTTGTCGATCTTTCTGAAGGTTTTCCAACCACCAAACGCACTCCTGGAGTGCTTTCGGCGGGATAAGATCTTTCTCTAATTCGTTCGGGTGTTGATTGGCCAAGAGAAAGTCGTCGAGGTAAACTATTAGTCTAATTCCTCTCTCTCTGAGCTGGCCTGCCAGCCAGTTTGACACTCTTGCAAATGTAATGAGAGCTGTCGCTAGGCCGAAAGGTAGGCAAATGAACTGAAGTATCCTGTGACGATGAAATATTGCCAAGAACTTTCTGTGTTGCAGTTTTATTGGTAAGTGAAAATACGCCTGGGAAATATCTATTTTCGAGAGGTAGTCCCCTTCTTGGAGAAATTCTGGCACTCGAAAATGATTTAGAAGACGGAATTTCTTTGGCCGTAGAAACCTGTTTAACCCTCGAAGGTTTATAATAGGGCGAAAACTGCCGTCTGGTTTTAAAACTGGAAACAGCTTGGATAGGTATCCTAGGGGTGAAAGACAGGGTTCCAAAATGTTCTGAGAAATCATGACCTCTATCTCTGCGTCCAGTCCCCTGGAAGTAAACTTCTCTAGGCAAACTCCCGTCAGAGGGGTAAAAGGAGGTTTTACCACGAAGGGGATAGAATATCCCTCTATTATTTTCAGAATCCCCGGAGGTGCCCCCATTTTTTTTTGCCAGACGTTCACGAATTTTCTCAGTCTCCGCCCTTTGAAATCCTGCAAGTCAGGATTGTCTTGGTTTTTTAGAACTGGACTCGTTGTAGAATGAGGGTTTATCCTTGGAGCGAGCATTAAAACTTCGCTTTGGGGCTCTCTTAGAATTAGGCTTCCAGGATTCAATTTTAGAACCTTTAAACTGCTGTGAGCGGGGTTTGAATGTCGTCCTGGACGATTTATGGACTCTTTTTCGTTGTTCAAAACTTGAAGTTTCTTTTGGTTGAAATTTGGGCTTAAACGAGGAATATGATTTGGTGGAACCACGAAAAAATCCTTGAAACGAGGGTTGTTTTAAGAGCTCTGAAAATTTATTCTCATCGAAAAGGTGTGTTGAAGATGGCGGAATATCATTCAATAAAGTTGAAAGATAGACATCTTGCGGTAGAAAGGCATTTCTTCTTTGCTCTATTGCCTCGACTTTGCGACCACAAACATACTGCAGTACATCATCGGAAACACATTTGAAAGCTGAATTCGTGCCGTAAAGTGACTCTTTGAGGTTCTGCTTCAGGGAAGGATGTTTGTTTGAAAGGTCTTTTACAACACTGGTGAGTGCCTCTCTCTGTAAAAGTAAGCCATGCAGTATCGTACCAAAGGAAGCTTCCTGTTTTGTTAGAGAGTCCAGAGAAGCGCTGGAATTATTAATCTTCATTAGGGCAGGATTCAGCTTTAAAACATGGAACACTGGAAATGCTTGTAATTTCTTTTGCACTTCAGCGTACCGGATCTGGTTATAGGATAATTCTCCTAATCTTAGGCACTGAATACCTTGTGACTCAATATGAGGTTTTGGCGTAGGCATTGTTGGTTCTTGTTTCTTTGTTTGCGGAATAAAGTCACGATCGTCATTTTCTTCCTCTTCTAATGGTAGATCTGGGGCCTTCCATTTAACAGTCTCCGACTTATGCAAGGACTGACTGTTTTGAAGCTCATCTTCAGAAGAAGCGTAGGATTCTTCTGGCTCGGACTCATTATCGGAGATGGGTTCAAATCGTTTCATAAAGTTGGAAAACATGTCCTTCATATCACCGAACTCTTGTTCCAACTTGTCCAATCTTGAGAGCTTCTTTGACTTAGATGATGAAGAACGAACTGTCGATAACTCATCAGCATCGTCGCTGTCAGCAAGCTCTTTTGAAGCGTCTTTTCGACTTAGCAAGAGAGGCTTGAGTTCAGTAAGTGAGGCTACGATTAATTCATTTTGTACAGCAGAGCCTCTTATTCTAGCACCGATGGACGGTGGACCAATAATAAGCCCCACACAAAAAGGCCATTCAAGCATTTTAATTTTGATGTCTTTATATACTTTTTCCGGAAGCGAGGTACAATCTGGACAAAAAGCTCTAGCAAGCTCCACCGTAGGCAGACTGAATCTAATTTTGTTTAAGATCTGGAAATCAAAAACTTCACCCAATAGCTCCGCTCTAGAATGAGTAACGACTTTCCACTGGCGCCATCCATCAGGTAGATACAATTCTGCCAACCTTTTCACTCTCTCTAAAATCTCCCCGTCTTCCGAACTATCAGGTTCCCATTCCAAGAGAGACTCTTATGTCACTGACTCTTTTGCGACTGCCATCTGCGACAAAAAAATAAAAGAAGTTATTCAATTGTCTGCTCGAAACAAGCCACATTTGTACTTAAAATGAGCCGTCTGGCTGCTTAAATCAAGCCGTAAGGCCGCTTAAATCGGGCCGTAAGGCCGCTTAAATCGAGCCATAAGTCCGCTAAAATCGGGCCGTTGGGCCGCTCAAATCGAGACGTGAGGCGGCTAAAATCGGGCCGTCGAGCCGCTCAAATTGAGCCGTGAGTCCCCTCGAAACGAGCCGTCAGGCTCCTCAAATCGGGCCGTACGGCTGTTGCCTAGAGCCGTAAAACTGGTTTGAAGGAGACCGAGTTTTAGCATTATAAGGCAGTATAAGGCAGAAAACATAAGTCATACCTCTCGTAACATTAAATTATGTAAGTAGGCACCCAAATACAGGTGTAACAATCCCACAGACGTGATTGTCGTATGGAGATTTCAGAAATAATTACGTAGATACACTTAAATCTACTACTTACAAAGTTACCAGAGGAGAACACTAGAAACAAATAGTATTTATTATAAATATTGAAGCAAACTTACCATTAAGGTAGAATTTTTATTACACACTTCGCCTCCAGGTCCTTCAAAAGAGTTATTGCCAAGGCAAAGTCAGAGCACATAGGCAGAATTGGCGAGAAACTAGTTCGCCTTCCTTCGGGAACCCGTGCATTCTGGTCTCTCGCCAAGGCTGTCCAAGGGAATTTCTGTAAGCCATCACTACCATCTCTGCACAGGGAGGACGACTCACTGGCCCACGACGCAAAAGAGAAGGCTGACCTTTTAGGCTCCCTTTTTGCGTCCAACTCGACTGTTGATGACGGGGGTAACACACCGCCGACCATCCCGCGGTGTGAGTGCTCTATGCCGGATGTGCTATTCTCACAGCGCTCGGTTCGCAGAGCACTCCTCTCCCTTGACATCCACAAGTCGAGTGGGCCTGACGGAATCCCCCCAATTGTGCTGAGGACGTGTGCTCCGGAGTTGGCACCGGTTCTAACGCGTCTTTTCCGGTACTCCTACTCCCATGGCGTTGTCCCGAACTCATGGAAGACAGCTTTTGTCCACCCGATCCCTAAAAAAGGCGACCGCTCAGACCCGTCCAACTATAGGCCTATCGCGATCACCTCCTTGTTCTCGAAAATAATGGAATCCATTATTAACTGCCAGCTCATCCGGTACCTTGAGGATCACCAGCTGATCAGTGACCGCCAATACGGTTTTCGTCGGGGTCGATCAGCTGGTGATCTTCTAGTCTACCTGACCCATAGATGGGCGGAGGCAGTAGAGTCCAAGGGGGAGGCGTTGGCCGTTAGTCTGGACATTGCGAAGGCCTTCGATCGGGTCTGGCACAAAGCGCTTCTTTCGAAGCTCCCTTCCTATGGGCTTCCCGAGAAATTGTGCAATTGGATCACCAGCTTCCTTGCAGATCGGAGCATCAAGGTCGTTGTAGACGGTGCATGTTCTGACTACAAGCCTATTAACGCTGGTGTTCCACAAGGCTGTGTGCTATCACCAACGCTGTTTCTTCTGCATATCAATGATATGTTGCTAACTGGTAACATTCATTGCTATGCGGATGACAGCACTGGTGATGCTCTATACACCGGCCGGGCCAATATTTCTCGGGAAAACGTCGCCGAGTACCGGAACAAACTTGTGTCTGAAGTCGAGTCTTTGCTGGACAAAGTCTCGGATTGGGGGCGACTAAATCTAGTCCAGTTTAATCCTCAGAAGACACAAGTTTGCGCGTTTACCGCTAAAAAGAACCCCTTTGTCGTATCTCCTCAGTTTCAAGGCACTCCCCTTCTTGCCTCAGCCAGTATCGGTATCCTCGGAGTCGACATATCAAGTGACGTGCAGTTTCGTGGTCACTTGGAAGAGAAGGCCAAATTGGCCTCTAAAAAGCTTGGCGTGCTCAGCAGAGCGGGACAGTATTTCATGCCGGCACACCGCCTGCAACTTTACAAGGCGCAGGTTCGGCCTCACATGGAATACTGTTCCCATCTCTGGGCAGGGGCTCCCCAGTGCCAGCTCCTTCCACTTGACCGCATCCAGCGCAGAGCGGCTCGAATCGTCGACGACCGAGCCCTTTCCGATCGGCTCGATTCATTGGCACTGCGAAGAGATGTTGCATCTCTTTGCATTTTCTTTCGCATCTACCATGGGGAGTGCTCTGAGGAATTGTTCGGATTAATCCCAGCCGCCAAATTTCATGAACGCACATCGCGGCAGAACTCCCGATACCATCCACACCATCTGGATGATTGGCGGTCCACCACTGTGCGATTTAGAAGATGTTTTCTTCCTCGCACGACTTCCTTGTGGAATCGATTACCATCAGCGATTTTTCCGGACCGATACGACTTAGGAACCTTCAAGAAAAGAGCCTACTCCTTTTTAAAAGGCCGGCAACGCATCTGCAATTCCCCTGGTGTTGCGGTTGTTCATGGGCGGCGGTAGTCACTTACCATCAGGTGAGCCGCATGCTCGTTTGCCCCCTCTCCTATAAAAAAAAAAAAAACACACACACAATATTCACACAGCAACAACAACGATTCGACTAAATATTATACTTTAACAAATAGTCTCGAACGACACGCGTCGTTAATATTTTTCTTTATAAAAATGACGTGGGTACGTGTATTCACATGGATAGAAAAAGCGTACTGAGAACGCGGGCGCCGTCGCTTCACCGCCCCGCCTCCCGCGGAGGGAGAAGCGCCCACGACAGCGCTACCTAGACGAACGCAAGCATTTATTTGAATGTATGGGTATTATATGGATAGATACAGTAAGTGTTATCTCATTATGGTCAAGCCGACGGCACAGACCATGAAATATAGAAATGATTGTTTCACTCTACGAAAACAATAAAACTAAAAACATTAGTCAATAAGCTATATAGCGAGGTAAATAAATATTGCCATTTATGTTCTTTTGTTTCAAAGTAAAAAACATACTAGCTCTTACCTTTTATATTGAATATATTATTACACCGGATTATAGTACCCGAGTTCAGTTTCATAGTCCGATGGGACGGTAAACAGACTTGAATAAATGGAGATCGAGTGCAGGACCAACGACTTTGCGTGCTCTCCGAGGTACTGGCGTGAATCACCATCCAACTTCCTGGCTCTCTGCTACTGAGAAATTCTTGACACAAAAACTTATTGTTTTTGATCCGACCCGGGATTCGAACCCCGGACCTTATGATCGGCAGTCGCATTAGCAACCACTAGATTGACGTACAGTCATTACTTTCATAGATACAGTTGGTTATTTTTATAGTTATCCGTCAGCTTAAATAGTTGGTGAAAGTTATCTTGCTTTACTAGGTGGTGGGACTGTTTTTCTGCACAGG